TGCCGGCTACTAAGGCAATGGGTAAGTGCTAAGAAATAGGGGGGCTATGTTTATGGCACTCGCTGTGGCTTGGGTCCTACTACAACAAGCGCCACTGCAACTGGGTCTATTGCCCCGCCAACTGGCATGGGGCTGACACTAAAGCTTACGTTGTTGCTGCTGCTGATGCTGTGGCTGCGGCTGCTGCGGCTGCTGCTACTGGCGTCGCCGAGCTCACTTCAGAACTATTTCAATAAGCGTTACGTTAGGAACGCGCATTGTCCTTCACCCTGTTTTCTCGACTGTCGACTGCCGACCGGGTACGTTGTCGAATGTCGTTGCGTTACGCTTTTGTCATCTGCCGTTGTCATCGTCGCAGTCGCTGTCGCCGTCGCCGTCGTCGTAGACTGCGTTGCCTACAAGCAATTTACAGCGTTTTTTACATTTTGCATTTTGCGATTCTCATTTTGATTTCGGTTCCTATCGTCGTCGCCGTCGTCTTCATCACTGGCGTCGCTGGCAGCATTGCTGCAGCTTCCGTTTCCGTTGTGTGCATTGCGCCGTGTAGCTTTGTTGATTGTCAGCGACCTGTATGCCTCCACTCAGTCTCTCTCAGTCTCTCAGTCCCAGCTGCTACTGCCCGTGACATGTCAGGCTGCGGCCATAGTTAGGGACGCTAACTCAACCCACTTCAGTGTCGCGCCTGTTTCTCGAGTCCTAGATCTTAAGTGCGACACCTTTCCGCAATCAGCCAACGCTATCTACGACTGTTGCGACTTTAACTTTGAAATTGCAGCCGCTGGCAGACAACACCACTGGCTGTGGCATTTGAGGCGCAGGCCCAGTCCGCGTCATAGCAACAATGCCATCGATATGTCTAGGCAAGTCAAACAAAAACAAAGCATAGCCAAATTTTGTTATTTCCTCTCCGCGCCAGACTCAGCCGTGCTCGGTAACTAGGTCAGTGGCAGTATTTTTACGAGGGTTTCCCAAAAAGTGCGTGCTCATATGTTGGGCACTTTTTTCTTTCCCAAGTATCTTTTAAATGTTACACAACGTACTCGATTGAAGTCAGTGAACCTAAAATGATTTAATGAAAATCGCATAGAAAGGCCGAGTGAAATTGTGTGTAAAAGATAGCGAAACCAGACAGAAATAGAAATAGATAAATATGTTAGATAACTCACATAAAATATTCCATGCTTAGAACCTAATAACCCACCCTCGCATTGGTATTGTTGATATTATTGCTGTTGTCTTTTGGCACTCTCCTGTCTACGTCTGCCGCCCAATGTGTGGCGTCGCCCCATTCAATGCCTTCACCTTCAATTTCTATGCTTCATTGCTCGCCGTTTTTCGCTTGTTCTATTCAGCGCTCACTTCAGGCCTTAGCCAAAAGAAAAAATAAAAAAAAGAAAAAATAAATGCCTTGACGCAGCATGTTCTACATTTTGAGAGTGACATAGATTAGCTCGGCAACCGCAACCCTACCCCACACCGAATGCCTAACGTTGCCTCCATGCCATTTTGTTGCATGGAAATCAATAGTGTGCGACTGCCATATGCTCATCAGAGCAGTCTCAGCCTCAATCTGGACCTCAGCAGGAGGCTAGCATCAGGCACTTGGCCGACTGCAGATGATTCTCTTGATAGACGTGGTGACTGTCATTCTTGTTGCTGTCCTTTTGTCAGTCGGAATGCTTGCTGCAGCTGGGTTTAATTAACACTGGGATTATGTTGCAGTGATTAGGAGATAGGTAAAAGTTGCGTAAATTAAGTCACTCACTCCACCCACCTAACCGCTCTGCAGAGTATTGCATTTTGAGATGGGACTTTGGCTGTGATGATTCTGCCAGGCAGGCCTGCTAGCAGGGCTTCCCTTTCACAGCTGCATAGAAAATTGGCTGGAAGACATTATCTTTTCAGTTGAGTCGCTTCAATTTTAATTAAACCCTGTCTTTTTATTGTTTCAATGCCTCCAACCGCCCAAAAGTATGTAAAAGTGCCTAAGTCGAAGGTATGCAGGTAACAGGCAGATAATAATTTTTTCATATGCGTGCAGCTTTGTGATACTGCAAAATTAAGTGAAAATAATTTAAATGTCATGCAGTTTTTTCATGCAATAACTTCAATATGGGGTCAGGATGTCTCCTTTTATGCGTTACGTATTTCACGACATCATTTCAAAACAAATAAAAGTCAGTTTTAATAGAAACTTTTGATTAAAATCTAAAGCACATGTGAGATTTTTAATGTCAAACATACGATCGGGCAAATTGGATTATGCGAACTGCTGGCTGAGCGTTCATTTTAGTCATCGCATCTCTGTTCCGCTTTATGCTCTACGTTAGCCAATTAATATATCAGTTGGCTGCCAGTCCGGCAACTGCTGGAGGGATTAATTAATGAGCGTTAACAGAGAATTTACCAGAGCTCGCTCTGCCCTTGCGCCAACTAAACTACTGTCCAATAATCGTAACTATCTGGCCAGCAGGACGACGCCTCGCCGACTGCTGGATAACTGGCTTGGAACAGAATTACAATTATATCACTCATACGAGCTGCTGGACTTATGTCCTGCCAAGCAGTCAGGCAGCTAGGCAGCCAGGCAGCCACTGGGACTAGCTCCATAGCTTACTTGTGCTTTAGGCCCAAGACCGAGTGACCACAGGCGACTGGCACTAATTGCCAGTTCTATGGTCTTGGCTTTCTTGGCCCCACTGGCGATTACTCATTATTCAATCTGGTTGCTGAATGCTTTAATTACGTTTGTTTTGCCAATTAAAAACAACACGCAACACGTAACGCAGTAAAACGGTGACCGAGCAGAATCCGTACCGGACAACGGCCACGGCCACTGCCAATTGTTGGTGCATTGACCTCGGGCCTCGTTTACCGAGTGCCAGTGCCCCAAAAAAGTGTGCTAAAAGCTGAAGCAACGCTCAACGCTCAAGACGAACGCTTATTTGGCACGCAGGTGCCGCAACAACACTGCCCGCCCTCTGCCCCCAAACCCCACCGCGACATGTAAAATCTCTGCCAGCTCACTCGACAGCCGACTGTCGTCAGTCAACAGTCGACAGCCAACAAGAGCGCGTTGACGCACTTTCATTTCCACTTGCCACTTACCACTTACCACTTGCCACTCGCCACCCCCTTTGTTACCCTACCTTCACGCAGCTGTGCCGCAGCCTTTGAGAAATTAATGCGGCCATTGTTTGCGCCATTTGCCGCTGAATGATGCCCTCGCACAGTGGCAAACGTTGACACGCCATTTTCAGCGGATTCCAGCGATGATTCTTGACCTTCAATAGATTAAAATCTCACTCGCAAATACAGAGCTACAGCACCGAAAAAAAAAATGAGTGGGTGGTTCGATTCCCGCTTCGAGCAGAATCTCTTATATAAGGTTCACTTCGTGAGGCTGCTTTTCCACATTCATTTACACAGATCTTCAATACAAAATATCAATTTTAATTACAATAGCCCGTTGTGCTGAAAATATTGCAAGCTGTAGATATTTTCTTATACAAAATGCAGGCTAAATTAATACAATAAATATCGCTTGGCACATCCTGCCAGAAAACAAAATTGGAGAATTTCAGACTTGAGTAAAATAAAATTAAATTAAATTCGAGCAATCTCATTTCAAGAAGGATTTCCCATATATCTTATGATTAATACATTGTTTTTCAACACATTAACAACTAAATTATTTGGTTCCATATATTGCAACAACTTTGACGAACAAAATTGTATCGAGTACTTTGTTGCTTTTAAGCCTAGTTGAATTCAATATTATAACGAAAAAGTATCGATTATCCATTTAAGATTCGTAAATGAAATATCCAATGCCTTCAAGCTAAATATTAACCAGCAAGCCAAGAAAGGTCTATAAGTAACAAGAACTTTGCGTCAGATTGATTTAATCCAAGTTGAATCAATCTACGCAAATTGAAAATATAAACAAATTTGCCGACCACAAGTTACTTGATTTTAAGACATATTCCAGGAATTAACCTGGCAATTTGCATGACATTAACATATTTTGTATAACTCGCATATCGTTTTATACCACTGTACCACATAGTTGGCAGAACTTCATTACCAGGCGGCTGCGTAGGCTGAGATTTATTCAATTTAATTTGAAATCGGCGTCAATGGGCTCCTGTTTAGTGGGACGTGGGCTACGCGTTTTACGTTGTGCGCTGTGCGCGGGGCATAGGAAATAGAGTTCGGGGCAAAAGGACATGTGATTAAAAATTGTTTTCAAAGTTCGTTGACACGCAGTCAACGCTGATGCCGACGCTGACGTTGACGTTGACGTTGCCGGTGCCGTTGCCGTTGACGCAGCCGCGACTACTGTCGGAAGCCATTCACAAGCGAGGCGCAATCAAAGACTGCCTAGCAATTTGGCGCCTATTTTTTTGGCACAGCTGTAATTGATTTTGTCCCTGGAGAATGGCTCGTCAACATACGCGAAAACCAAGTTAGGTCGATCGACCCGACAGCGATTGACTGCAAGATATCCTTTAGCCACATACTCATACACTTATGAGTTGAGCATTCGGAATTACTTTCCTGCAACTTTAGCAGAAACGTTTGGGAATAACGAAATTGATTGATTTGATTTGTGGAGCACAGTTGCATATCTCCTTCTGATCGACAGATAGAGCATAACTAAAAGCATAGATTGTCTAAGCACTGGTCTATGCTTTCTTAACTGGGAGCCATGTGTGCGAATTAGCTGGATACTGGCTGATAATCAAACGGGGCAGACTCCTCTTAGCAGCCTTCTGTTAACAACACGAAGTGCGTCGCGACTTTGCCAAATAGGGGACTGTAGAGCCAAAACACGCACACAATGTGACAGATTAAGTATACTTTTAGATTTAAAGATATTTTAAATTGGAATGGTCAATGGCGACAAATCATATCTATCAATATTTGTCAGAGCCAGTTTTCCATATCTTAAGAAACATCATTATTTATAAACCAGACCTTTTATGGCCCTCGCCCGAACTGCCCTTTCACGAATGTTGTTGTTGATGCTCTGCTGTCTCTGCTGCGTATTACAGCGCATATCACTCATACGCCTTGTTGTCACAGCTGCTCAGAAGGGGAAAGGGCAGGCCTGCGGAAGTCAGACAAAAAGATATCCGCCTGTCAATGATCTTCATTTTTTATGTGTGCCAAGGGGGCGAGCCGGGTCATTATTAATATTTTTATTTTACTGTCAGACGCTTGTCCCTTGCCTCCTTTTCTTTTTTTATTTGCCACTTGGCTGTCTGGGTGATAAATAGCGGGCATAATTGTCGCCTTGGCCCTCTCCCCCAGAAGCATCAGGCAGCCACATGCCGCTGGCAGTTGGCAAATGTTTTTGATTTACTTAACGGCTACCAAAAGAGTCCCAGTTTATACTTTCCAGACCCAGACCAATCTCAGTCCCAGTCCCAGTCCCAGTCCGATTCCCAGTCTCGCTCCCGGTTCCAGACGCCAGTTGACCCAATTTCGGCCGCTCTTGCCATTGTTATGGCTGTGGCTCGCATTGGCGCTGCTGTCCTCTGTGGTTAACTGCTCAAGGAATAATTCATTATGTATTTGGTCGGCATGTCACTTAATTTGAGTGGCCTTCGTTACCCCATTTCCCGATTCCCATTCAGCGATGCGGGCAATTTGGCTGCAAACTAATTGTCCACGTTGGAAATCGATTAAGCCTCTAAGCGAGACACAGTCACACTCCATATCCACATCCACACTCACACCCACGCACACACACACACACCTCAGCCAGTCTGATGGACAGCTGTTTTCGTGTTTTACATTCAAGTTAAATTGTTTATTTGCGTTACTTTTATGGGCTTCGTCGTTGACAGCAATTTGTTTGCCCACAAGAGATGTCTGCACAGAGACTGACTCTGCGTGTCTTGCTTCCTATTGTTGCTTTGAAGTGGATAAGCATTTTGTTCGTTGAATGTCAATTGACTAGTTTTTTAAGATGCAAAGCAGAAGGAAGGAAAGTATTAGAGATACCTGATATGAGAATTTATCGATTGAAAGCACTTTACCTCGGCTATCTCTCGACTTCGTTGCCGGAATAATGCTTCAACTTAAGACCCAAGCGCACGATATTCACAATGGATGCTTTGTACACCCATGCATATTCAACTACTTGTCCAGTCTGATTACCGACTGACTTACTGACTGACTGATTGGTGACCACGCACAGCTTCAACGGTGAAAGCTTAAAAGCTTCCTATTTTTTTACAGAAGTTTCCTCATGTAATGTAAGACGCGGAAAAGGGTTGTATAAAGTTTCTTTGTTTACCCTTCCATCCGCTTCTTATTCTTCAAATTTACCAAGATCTGCATCTTCCGACAGACTTCAATTTAGTATTTAATTATCTAGGTATTTGAAAAGTGACTCAGCTTTTGCGGAAATCAACTATGCCGGCAGCAAGTCAGTAGTAATGAATTTAGATTTAACATTTATTACAAAGCTACACTTTTTAAAATCTAAAGATAAAAGTCTAACCCGAACAGTGCCAGGTTAAATTTTTAGTATATTCCCTGTCTGTATGCAACTCTAACATACAAGAGGCATACATGAATTCATAGTATCAACAAATCGTGTTCGAATTCTAAAAAACATAATTATGTATGAATTAATGCATAAACTAATGTTTACATGTATGTTCATATGTATGAGTACCGACATGCGTTCATGAATGTATGTATGTGAGTATGTATATATTCTTGCGGAAAGCCAAAGTGTATATTTTTGTTGTAAGTATTTATGTGTGTACGAATGTATGTGTATATGTGTGAAAATATGTTCACATGTGTATATATGTATCAATGTTTATATGAACATAAATATCAATACATTTCAAAGGATATAAGTATGCACATGTGCATGTTATTAATACAAATGGCAGTTAATCGTAGCACTACAAATAAAAAGAAAAAAGGAATTCAAAATGCTGCCTTACTATGCGATTCTCATGAATTCAAGAAAGGCTCACAGACAAGTGGTGCCATCACAAATTGTCTCACTCTTATTCAAGTTTTGGCTCTGTATCTTTCTTTCTCTCTCTCTCTCTCTCTGTCTCTCCTCACACGCTCTTTTTCTATCTCTCCCTCATTTTACATCACTTTATTGCTCCTTGTCTTACTTTAATCAGCTGTTTTATTTTATTTTCTTGACTTAGATATAGTTAAATCTGCCTCACTCCAACAGATCGATATCCATCTATCTGTCTTTTTGCTATATCTTATTAAAAGTATGCTTCATCAGAACATATGTTAAGTCCCTGGATATTTTTCTAAAAGGAGATCACTTTAAATCATGCTAGGGATATAACTTTTATAGTTTAATTCCGCGATAATTAAAAGTTTGTAAAAATCAATCAACACTTTTATATATCATTTTATTTTAAACACAGCTCCCTGGCTAATTTTCAACTTACATTTAGCAAAAGCTTAGACCACATTATTAAAGCGAATGCCACGAAACACAGACATAGACGGGAATGTGCTCTATCAGCAAGCAGCGCTGTCCCCATGTTTCTAAGCTTGTCGAAAGTTACTTCCTCTAATAGTTGCAGGTGTTGTTGGTGCTGTTGTTGTTGTTGTTGTTGTTGCTGTTGTTGTTGTTGTTTTTGGTGTTGTTGTTGCTGTTGCTGTTGTTGGCCTTCGTTGAGCTGGTTGGCTGGCCTTCAATCCGCCACCCTGTCGCATCCAATTAACTTTGTTTGCCTAATCAGAATGCAACGTACATACGCCTTACATCGTCCAACGACGAGTTCCTGGAGCTCTGCCTGGGCCGCTGCTTGAGCCTTTGCCTGGCGTTGGTCGGTCAGCCATGTCTGGCTTGCCCTTGCCCAACTGCGTGCGTGCCAGGACTTTTGCCAGGAGTCTGCTTCGCCGTCATACGCTGCGAACTACTCGTCTGGCCTTGTCCGTTTTATGGACTTTTATTAAAGACCCACTCACACACACACACACACACTGCCCCGCACGCATTTGCGAAACTAAAAGCTTGAGTCCCCAAATAGTTTAGCTTTCAGCTGTCTCAGACGGCAGACAATATTTGGGCTGAGCACGAAGGCGGCTGCCCCTTGTAACGCATTCATTAGACACCAACTTGACCCAATTTCTACACTTTTTATTTGGGGAATCTTTCGTTCTTTCTCTTTCTTTCTCCCGTTCTATGCTGAAAGGTGCTGTGACTGGCATTTTTGTGCCCTCTCCCGACGAGAGAGATTAACTTTTTTTATGCATTTCAACCGTGAAAGCAAAACTGCTTTAAGATGGCTTAGGGATTTGCCTAAAAGAAGACATAAGTCACGAAGGGTTTCACCCATTTCCATAACAAAAACGTAGATAATATTTTAAGATTTTTTATGAACAGCAAAGGAAAAATGCATTTAACATGAAATCTAAATCTCCAAGCCCAATATCGCCTGCAGTCAGGGTCGTGGTTGGGTTAGGTCAGGCCCCGCAACCCTGATGATGTTGTAGGCAAGGGCTTAGCATGCGATGCGTGCCTGTTGTGCGTACCTAACCCCCCTCCGGCAAAAAGTTGCTGATCGGCGCAGCAGAAGTTTTGCCAGAGTTTGGTTATTATCCGCGCTTAATGAGCGAAATTTAATATTTTGCGATGGGTAGCTTTCAAAACTGAAAATAGCGAATAGTTCATTAATTAATTCTGTTGAAATGTATAAACATATGTTGTTAATTGGACTTTTAGCTAGCTCGTGGTTGATATTGTGCTGCACTCGGCGGCTCTTTTACCTGCGCCCGCACCAGCACCCCTCACGCTCCATTTATCGCCGCCGCAACGTCGAACTTCCAGGTATTTTTTGCTCTCAGCGGGGCTGCAACTATGGCGCAGTGTTTGGATTGTGTTTCTGTTTTTGTTTTCCTAACTCGTGGTTGTAGCTTTTACTGTTGGTCTAGCTGAAGGCCTTAGGGATAAGCCAGCCGAGAACGTGCACCGCAGGGCTCCACGAAGTTGAGTCCCAAGCCCGGTCCCCAGTCCCAAACAGCAAGTCAATGTCCAATCAATAGGGAAACTTAAAATCCATTGAATTATTTGTACGCCATCCGCCAGCAAACGGCAGACAGCATTAACTAATGGCAATAGCCGGACCCGTTGTACTCCATCTCATCCGTTATGTATCTATTAGGAGACTGGACATGTTGCCAAATTGCCAGCCTGTTGTCAATGCTAATTTTAGGCTGCTTGTTACTGAACGGCAGCGCTCAATGATGCTGCAAGTCCACAGATTCCCAGCATCAAATATTGATTGACGAACATGAATTCCCACGCACACACAACTACACACAACTACACACATGCATACACGTCCAGGCACATGCATATATGTATACGTATCAATTATGCACATGCCAATTGAAGTTCTGCATGCTGCAATTAAGTCCCAGCTGCATTGCCTCAACTGGGAACCGCTGAGCGGTTGAACTTTTAAGTCCATTTGTGCCATATGCACGAGCAAAACCAAACACACACGTCGGCGAAACTAATGAAGGCTAAATAGCGCATTGTTTCCAAGTTTGATTTCTTACAAGATTTCTTGTTCTCAATTATCCTTCAATACGACTGTCAGTTCAATTCAAATGCATCCACTGGAAGACAGAATATGCTCCCAGCAGGGCCGCAGGCGGGATTTGAGTGAAAGAGGTTTTCGAGGAAATCAGAATTCCAAACATGATTACCATGAAACGAACCTTCCTTCAACCAGATTGGATGGATAAAAAACTGTCATAATTATTCATGGCTGCGCATAGAATTTGCCACAGTCTCAACTTGAGGAAAATGCAGTTGAAATTGAACTGTGTGTGAATCAACAATCAATTAGTCAGTCAGTAATTCAATCAGTAAGTAAATCAGAACAAGCCTTTAAGAAATATGTAAATAAAACCATGTCAGATGTGACACTGGCCACTGCAATCCTTTTAATACTGGCTCGGCTTGGCGATTAGCCTACGTAATTTCCTGTTGTGTGTCACTTAAAAAACCCAAATGAAAGGATATAACTTAAGCCTGGTCAGCGAGTGTGCCGCATGTCGCATGTCGCATGCCGCATGCCGCATCCTGGGTGCCGCGTGCCGCGTGTCACAGGTGCATGGTCCGTTCAAGCACGGGGGGAAGCCGGGGATACTTGATGCAAGGCGAGCTGAGCCCGGCTTGCGGCGTTTATGTGCATAATTTAGCCAACTTGGCACATTCGCATGTAAATACGCCTCAGGTCCGCGGCACAGGATGCCCATTTCTACGCGTTGCAGATCCTTTAGCAGCTGTTGCTGCCGCTGTGGCATTTGTTGTTGTTGTTGTTTTTAGTGCAGTGCACATATTTTAGTGAGCGGCTTCATTGTCGGTCGTCAACTCGTCGCCCACGCTCAATTTGTCAGTGCAGCACTCACGTAGCGTGGTCAAAATAATGCGCCTGGCCAAAGAGTGTGCCCGTGTGTGTCCATGTGTGTCCGGGCGGATTTGAATTCGGTTTTCGACTTCGGCTTTACTTGCGACTAGACTTTTTCTCATTTTGTTTTGCAACTAGCCGCACATTTCTATTCATTTCAATTGTACTCATTCACGAAGTAAGCAAAATTAAAGTACGTGCCCCTTTTGCTATGCAATGCAATTTTTATTGAGTGCAGCCCCAGAACGAGGACATTGACGACGATGACAATGACGACGACGACGACACTGACGTGGACTTGGACGTGGACGCTGACGTGGATGATAAAGATAACTAGAACGTAGAACGCAGAACGCAGAACGCAGAATGCAGAACATAACAAATCCCATCAACAGCAAAGCGTGCAGCTGGCTGGAAGCCCAATTTGCTGACCAGCATCAGCTGAGCTCGGGAGCCGCCAGCAGGTGGATACACGCAACTGCACCTGCAACTGCATATCTGCATCTCTGCGTTATTTCTATAAAATATTCATTAACCTGATATTCATTAAAATGATGCCGCCTCGTTAGTTTTAATGGCGCCAACGATACCAGCAGCCAGCAGCCAGCAGCCAGTGTCGTCATCGTAGCCATGTTATAATCCTTAGCAGCATAGCAGTGCCTGCTGCTATGTAGGGCAGCAGCAGTAGGTGGAGGCGAATATTAGGAAGCTGGAGTGTACTGTTCCGCTATTTCACCTCTCTCCACTCTCTCTCTCTCTCTCTTTCTCTATCTCTCGCTCTGTCTCTCTCTCTCTCTATGTATATGCATACAATGCATACATATATGCGTACATAGTTTGTTTTTCGTGCATCCTGCCAACGGATTTGGTTTGATTTTCATTTATGCTACGGCTCCCGAATATTCGAGCGAAGCTGTCAAGTTGCCTTTGCAGCGAACAATTCCGAGAAATTTTTTCAAATTGTCGTGCATTGTGCATCGTGTGATCTGCCATTTGTTTGCGCAGCGGCATCCTTCATTTCAT